ATATGTTTGGAATTTATTAATGTTATTTGTTGTCAATTATATTTCATATATCAAATCTATATTTTTTCAAACCATTTTTATATCCTTTATATAGAAAAATATAATTAAAGAAAATCACTAGCAATAATTAGATTTAGGATACTATTGACAATAATAATAATACTAATAAGACTAATATAAATACTAATAATATTACATATACTAACTATAAAATAAGTAATAATAATGTTATAATTAATATTAATAATAGTTATATCATTATTGACAGGTTTGTCAATTTTGATAGTTTTGTTAGATTTGTTCAGTCTGTCAAGTTCTACTTGTTTTAGTGTGATGAATAATAATTTTTCACTAAAAAATTCTAAATTTCTAAAATAAATAATAAAAACTAAAAAGTGATATTAGTGATAAATATATATCACATGATATAAATACATATATTCTATATAAGCTTAGACATTTTTTATTTAATTTTATTAAATAAAATAATTATGTAGTATATATAATTTTATAAATGTTAAAATTTAAAAGTAAATATAATTATAGTTAATGCTTAATATAGCAAACTCTTAATATAACGAATTTTTGAATAAATATAATAAAAATACTCTTATTATAGCGAATTGATCAATCAAATCTCTTAAAATCTTCACTATATTCTTATAGTAAAATTAAGGTTTAGGATATAAAGTTTGTTATAATAAAAGTTGACTGTACTAATTTTTACTTTTATATTTATTATATATTTTATATAGTTTAAAATAGATTTATTCTATTTATTTACTATATATAATAATAATTATAAATACTTTAATTATATATAAGTATTTTATAATAGAAATGAAAAAAATTATCAAAAAATTTTTTTTGAATTAATAAAAAATAATATTTAGTTTATAAAATAAAAATTTTTTTTTTTGATATTTTTCTTTCTTTTTATTATAAAGTACTCATATATAAATTAATATAAATTAATAATTTTAATAAATTCTTATTTATAAATTTATTAAATTATGAATTTTAATTATTTAATATTTATTTAATTAATTGATTAATTAATTAACTTTAAATACTTATAATTTAATTATTAAAATTACATATTCTTATTTTATTTATATAAAATTTTGATATACAATAACATCTCTATAAGTGCACGCTCTTAGACCTAAGTATATATGTGCACTTAAGGAGGGTGTGCATTTATAGAATAGCCAATAAAAAAAGATAATGTTACATAAATTAATTTTACAATTGAATAATTATAAATTTTCTTTATTTATTTAAAACTCAGCTTTTAGTGAATACATTAATCAAAAATAAACAGCATAAATTGTGACTAAACATTATTTTTAATAAAATATATGTTAATGTTAGTTTGCTGCATTACGCTTATTTTTTTTACTCTAAAGAATTTTTTGATTTTCCTATTATCTTTAAATATTGTCTTGTTAGAATAGAAATATGCGAACAATTTTTAAGCTAACAATTGCAGTATTAGTACTAATAATAGGACTTTTATAACTATTATCTATTTCTTTTAAATCTGTACTTTCCTTGTCAGTATTTCTAAAGAGATATACAAGTTCTTCAATAATCTGATCGTTCTTAAGAATTTTATAAACAACATCTTCTTCAAGAAAATTAAGAAATTCTTCTGCTTGCAATAGATTGGGAAGATTAAAAACTTGAAGTGCATCTGCAAGATCATTAAGTTTTGATTTTTCATATTGATGAATATCTTCTGAATTATTATTTCTCAAATCTACATTTGCAGGAAGAATTTTTGTATAGTACCAGCAGTTACAAATTGTTTCAATATTAACTTAATCTTAAGCTTAAATAATAAAATAAATTGCCTGTAAAATATTCATACATAAGTCTTTTATATGATTATTTGCTTTCACATACTGCAACATCAAACTTTCAAAAATAGTTAGTTAAATTTTAATATTTACAAATATATAATAGATTTAAATAAATACATCTTACTGTACATGAAAATAATAATAATATCTTTTAAAAGTCATAATTATTTCAGCATCTATTGGCTGAATTCTTGAAGTCATATTCAGAAGCAGAAAATGAACTTTAGTATATTATAAGGTAAGTCTGATTAACTTGTGACTAGAATAGTTATCAAGAAGAAATAACACATGCTAGTCTTGATGTTTTAGACTAGCTTAACAATCAAATTTCTGAATCTATTCTTGGAAGAGTGATGTAGTCATCCAGATTTTGGCATTATTGCAATACATTATAGGTATATTTTAGATTCTTATATTTTTAAAATAGCATAGTCTTTCATATTTGCTAATTATTAAAAGGTTTAACTTATGTGAACCATCAGCATTAATATATAATGCAATTGAAAAACGTTCTTTGTTCATTTTAGAAAGGCATCTTATTGCAAGTATTTGATTGGATTTTAATCTGTAAATAAACAATTATCTAACCCATTTTTTTTTAATTTTTTTTTAATCAAGAATTTTACTTATAAAAAAATACAGTTTCGTTCATGTTGTAGATTCTTTCAGGTAGGTAGTTAGAATAACATTCTCTTAATAAGAGCAAAGTATTAATAATAGTAATTTTATCAGTAGATGAAGCTTCTCCTTTAAGCTTTCATTAGTGAATACTATTTTAATCTTTAAACTTATAAAGCTATTCTGAGAAAAATTACAATGCATCTTATGAAATCTTTAATCCATTAGCAATCGATTTAGCTTTTTAATAAGTATTGCATTACTTAAGACCATTTGATGTTAGTAGTTTAGAATGAATTCTTTAAGGGTAAGCTCAAGTTCTGAATATGTAACAGGTTTATGACATTTTGTGTTTGGGCTGATAGTTTTTGAACTAAGTCTTTTTTCTGCTATTTGTAAGATATAAAAAATGGTGCTTTCATTAACTCTAACATTTTACTATTCTTCAATCCAATCAATATATTGAGTATGAGTCTTTTTATTATCACGAGCATAGATACAAAAGTCTTATTTTTAAATTTCAGTGAAGGTAGTTCTCTTAAGAGTCATGATTTAAGGATGCATAATTGATTTCAATATTATTAAATAACATAATAACGTATCATTTATATTAATAGAGAACAGGTGGAAGATATATTAATATTAAAAGTATTTTGTTTCTTTTTTCTTAATTTAGGTATATTAAATAGAATTTTATTTTATATGAGATTTTGTTTATTCATCAATATATATTATTACTTGTAAATATGATACAAATTTTTGCTAATTAATACTAATTAGAATAGATTAAACAAAATTTGTTCATACGCTTATGATCACAATTCATCAGAATAGAAATTGTAAAAAAATAAAACTTCTTTCTAATGTATTGTTATATTATATTATTTTTCTTATTTTTGAGATAAGACAGTTATCTCTGATTAGTCAAATTTTATGTAATTGTTACGTGAGTGCATTTATGAAAGGTATTCTGATATAGTTAAGACTAAAATTACTTACACGTGTAGAATATGAAGGGTGTGCACTTAGCCATAAGTTTCTAGTTTAAAACTGAGCTATAGTATGCATATAGAGAGGATATGTACTTATGGAAAGTGCACTTATAAAGGTATCACTATACTTCTATTATTAATTATAAATAAATTATAATTAAAGAAAATTTATATATATTATAAATATTATTAATTTATTAATAATTAAATTTAATTAACTTATTTTCTATAAAAATTTAATTTACTTTATTAATAATGTTATTTATGTTTTTTAATTATTTTTATATTTTAATCATTTTAATCATTAGGTTATAGTTAAAGAATTTTAATTTATTTGATAATAATTTGCAAATTATCTTTTGATTTTCTTCTCAAAACATTTCATCAACTATTAGTTCAATAGATTATACTTATATTTATTGAAATTACTTAATAGAATAGTTCTAATGGTAATATTTTTATTAAAATTTAATTATTATATTGAAAATTATTTCATTTAACTATATTAATTTTACAATATAGATAAAAATAAAAACTAATATTCAAAAAAAATGAATAATGAAATAAAAAGTTAATATATAGAATTATTAATAAAGTAATATCAATAATGATTTTTTTTATTATTAGAAATATTATTAGTTTGATTATAAGTTTTTTCTAATATTTAAGCAATTAATTTAATAACTTTAATTAAAAATATTAAAGTATTTTATTTTTTTCTTTAAATTGTAAATTTATAATAATAACTAAAATTTTAAAATTCTTTATAATTTATTGTTTTATTTTTTTTTACTTCTTTTTTTTAATAAAAAACAAAGCTAAAAGAATAAAGAATAATAATATAATATATTAATAAATTATATGTCTTTACTTTTGCTTTTACTTTTAAAATATTAATAACTTTATTTATAAAATATAGTTTCTTTTACTATACTATTAATATTAGCTAATTCTAATTTAAAAACTTTTATCATTATCTTTAAGTTTATATTTAATAAATTTATATTTTATAAAATTTAAAAGATTTTATTTTAATAATAAGTAAAATAATTGTTTTTAATTTTTTTAATATAGTAAATTTTATTGAAGCTATTTTTTATACTAAATTTTTTTTATACTAAAATATTATCTTTTGATAATGAGCATAAAATAAATTGCGTAACATTTAGCCTGATTAAATTGTTGGCTGAGATGATTTTTGATGTATGATCTGAATCCTGGAATTTGTTATGCGGACATAATTACCAAAAACCTTGTAATATTTGTGTAACATGTATGAAGTGCATATTTAAGTGCGACATACTTGATATAAAAGCTTTTTTTTCCGAATTAATATTATCGCGTTTTCTTCATAAAAAATTTTTGGTAGACCTTACTTTGTTAATCATCGTCTACTTTCATTTTTCATTAGCAGTTACTTTTCTACGATATATACTTACGCGTTAGCTAGCTTAATTACATTTCTATTATTAAAGAAAAAAAAAAATACTTTTCTTTGTTAATTTATTTTTTGAAGAACGAATACATGGCAATACATCGAAACCTTGCGGCAAAAAATCGAATGCAAAAGCAAAAATTAAATGCAGCTATACGAAAGCAATCAGCTTTATTGGAAACAAAATTAAAAAATGGGAAAATTACAGACACGTATGCTAATAAGAAGAGAGATATCAGTGAACTTTCGAGGAAATTGTTACATTCCGCAATAGGTAATGTAAAGTCGTATTCATATATCATAAATTAAGCTTTTATTAAGTTTTCATGTTCAAAATTTATAGGATTTATCGTGTTATTGATATATTCAGACAGTGAAACAATCGCGGTCAGAAATAATTTACTTTATATGTTTGCATTCGTATTTTCAGCAGAAATCTTGAGATTTTTTAGTAAAAGTTTTAACGAAATGTATATAAGAGTCTTGGGATTTATGATGAGAGAGAGAGAAAAGACCGAGAAATATAATGGAGTGATATCCTATTTGATAGGATGTATTGGTGTCCTTACATTATTTCCTAAGGTAAGCTATAATCCAGGTAAATTCTTTTTATTATATAACATACAATTTTTTTCTAATCTTTCTATTTTGATGATTTTAGGATATAGCATCAATATCGATATTGATTTTATCATGGTGTGATACGGCAGCATCATTCGTAGGCAGAAGGTGGGGAAATTATACATATAAGTTTCGAAATGGTAAGTCATTAGCAGGCACATTAGGTTCGATGACAGTCGGATCAATTGCCGCTTTTATATTTTGGGGTCTATTAAAACATGATCCCGAAAATTCTAGTTGGGTAGAAGAGAAAAGTTTATTGCCATTACCTATATTAACCATATTAACGGGAACAATTGGTGGTATGAGTGAATTGATTGATTTGTGGGGGTTAGATGATAATTTGGTTATTCCTTTATTATCTGGTACGATTTTGTGGATTCTATTAAGAGGACTTGGTTTAGGAGGTATTTAGACCGATCAATGCATGTAAATTTTAAATATCAGTTTGTCTCATCTTTAGTCTCTTCAGATTTTTTTTTTTGGAGATTTCCTCTCATAATTTAATGTACTTGTATTTTATAAAAACATTATAATATTACGATAAATGTAAACCACGTGAGATAACGTGATGATCCATTATTTGATTATCAGAAAATTATCACAAAAAATTTCCATCAAAAATCATATTTTTCTTCAATAATAAAATTTCGGTTTTTTACAATGAACTCGACAACTTTATCTGTAGCTCGTAGAAAAGTAATGCTTTGCTCTAATTTGTTAATACAAATAAAAAGAGGGTTTAGGATCAATAGTAGTGGTACTTTCCAACAACTACAATTGGAAAAGGAAGGAGCCGTTTCTCAGACCAAAAGTACATTTATTGATAAGTAAGGTGATGTTTAATTGTTAAGGGTTTTGCCCTAAAGTTTTATCAAAGTTTTTTTTTTTTGAACAGAAGTTGAAAAAACGTTAAGAAAGTTTTGGAAACAAGTATCCATCCAATCAAATACAGGTAACTTAAATTTAATTAATTTAATTGATCATATTTTTCATTAATAAACATTTGCTCTCCTGTTATTGATTGATAATAGACACACAAACATATGAGATATTACTTGATAAAAGGTCATTGAAAACGCCAGGAGGATCAAAATTAAGTATACCTTATTCAAAAAAAATTTTGGCATATTTAATTGCTGGCGAGTGGGAGTCTCAAAATCATCTACTAAAACAACATTCCTTACCATTGGTAAGTAAATGACCATCTCAAGGAACAAATGCGTTTTTTTTTTATTATTTATTATTATTAACTTAAGACTTTTTTTTTTAAAAAATATATATATATATAGACGTCATTGATTAGTAGAGCTATAGATGCATTTGATAAAGATATTAATACAAAACAAGAAGTTATCAATAATTTATTACGATGTTTGGATAATGATTTAATTTGTTATCAAGAATCATATCCTGATTCATTAGTTGAATTACAACAAAGACATTGGGTCCCAATATTAAATTGGGTACAAAAAACTTACAATGTCGAAATTAAAACTACTGACGGTATAAGTGGGTTAAAGCAACCTGAGAGTACCAGAAAAAAATTAAAGGATATAATTGAAAACTTTGATTCTTTAAAATTATCAGGTAAGTCATTCATGAAATCATTTCTCTTTTTTTTTTAATAACTCGCAATTTTCTATATTACAGGATTTGAGAGGGCTACGATGTTATCAAAGTCATTTTTAATTGGTTTAGCTTTAGTAGAAAGAAAATTAAGTGTTGAGGAAGCTTCAACAGCTTCGTTAATTGAAATAATTTCACAAACTATGAAATGGGGTAAAATTGAAAATGGTAAGCAATAATATAATGAATCTGAATTTAAACATTATATGATTGTATTAATTTTATTTAAATTATTATTTATTAGCGCATGATGTTGAAAATGAAAGTATTAAAAGACAATTGGGATCAGTTATTTGTGCTATTATGGTTTCCAATAATTAATTTAATTTTCACCTCCACTTTTGAGAAATTATTAAAAAATTTCATGAAAATAAAAGGAGCAAAAATATTTGTTTATTGAAATTATTGAAATAAAGTGATTGAGCTTTTTACAATTATTATTTTAAGACTACTTTTTTTTTTACATTACAACAATCCTTATTTCTTAGTTACTCTCCAAATAGAATCGGCAACTTTAGTTACATCCAACATTTCTTTCACATCATGTACTCGAAGAATGTTCACACCGGCCAAGACAGCAGCGGCACAAGCCGCAGCAGTACCCCAGCATCTGTTTTTAGGAATGGGCTGATTAATCACTTCCCCAATAAATCGTTTATTACTCACCCCAATTAAACAGGGAAATCCTTCTAGAAGGCTACGCTTTCCATTAAGTTCGTTTAATCTCTTTATGATTTCAAGATTATGATCCAACTTTTTAGCAAAACCAATACCAGGATCAATAATTATATTCCAACGTTTAATGCCAGCATTGATGGCAGCATTAACCCTTTCGAATAATTCATTAGAAATATCCGATATAAGATCATCACCATATTCGGTCAATCGAGACATGGTTTTAGGAGTACCCCTCATATGTTGAAGAATAATTGGTACATTACATTTAGCAGCAACGGAAAGAACCTTTTTATCTAATTGCCCACCAGATATATCGTTAATTATATTCGCGCCACTTTGTATTGCCTTTTCAGCAACTTCGGAATGAAAAGTATCAATTGATATAGGAATATTAGCAAGACTAGTGTTTGAAGAACAACGAATCGCTTGTATAATGGGTAATACACGAGAAATTTCTTCTTCAATAGGAACGTCCTCAGCATTAGGACGAGTAGAACAACCTCCAATATCCAATATATCAGCACCTTCATCGACTAACTTTTGAGCATGAGAAAGAGCGGAATTAACATTCTTATATAATCCATCATCTGAAAATGAATCGGGAGTCACGTTAATCACACCCATAATAAAAGTTTTTGTGGACCATTTCCAAATTACATTATTAATATTGATTGGTAATATCTTGTGAATAAAATTATTAGGAGAATAAGAAGGACTTTTCAAGTAATGAGAAAGTAATTGGCCACAAGTTCTAAATAATTTTGGATGTTCAAAACTTTTTGCGATATCACATAATGGTTTCAATACAAATTCTCTTTCGTTCATCGATACATGTGGAATGGTAAGATTGGAAGATTTATATTCAATGTCATCATAAAATATTATGTCCAAATCAATTGATCTTGGTCCATATCTTATCGTTGGAGTTCTTCCTATGGTTGACTCGATATTTTTTAATTTAACTAATAATTCTTCTGGATCCAAATTTGTAGCAACCTTACACGCGGCATTAAAAAAATCTGGTTGATCCGTCACGTACATTGGAGATGTTTCATATATGTATGAAGTATCTAATATTTTACATTCTAATTCGAGTAGTTTTAACGCTTCACAAATGTTTCCAATACGATCACCCAAATTCGAACCCAAAGTGATATAAACCACATGATCATATCCCTCAGGAACATCCTTACCAAGAGGAATATTATTCTTGAAGCACGATTGACTTCTTGTAATTTCTATTCCGGCGGAAGCGGCAAACATTAACGCACTTGGTTTTTCCACCCTTATGGTAATCTTATTAACTTTACATTCCATTATTACGATGCGGGCTACAGAAGTAGCAAATGCTTCAATTGTTTTATACTTTGATTCTTCAACGTGCTTTGAAATAGTTCTAACTATTGTCCTATAATTATGTGGCTTAATAACATGGTCTTTATCAGATTCCGCTTTATGTCTGGGATAAATAGTTAAATTAACTATTACACTTTGCTTCTCTTCTCTTTCCCATGGGTTAATTCCAATTATACTATTCAATTTTAAATCTCGTACAAATATTTTATCAGAATATTCATTTTCACCAGTGATTTTCGGTGATTCCGAATAATCATCTTTTGTGCGCGTTATTTCCACTCCTGCACATTTTGCATGTAATAATGCTTTTGGTTTCTCCAATCGAATATTAACCCTTGTTGTATCAAATTCTGTTATACATAATTTTGCTATTGCATCGGCTAATGCTTCAATCGATTTAAAGGAACTTTCCTCTGAAAATTTTGTCACCACTTTAGTGACAGTACCATAGTTGATTGAATACTGTAAATGGTCGGTATTTCCCGCCTGTGATATATTTGCATAGATTGTCAAATTTATTATTATAGGTTGCTTTTTTACTCTCTCCCATGAATCCACTCCTATGATATTATGAACCTCTAAATCTTTTATTATGATTTTATCTTCCATAATATATATATATATAATTTTTTTTTTTTTCAAAGAAAAAGCATCCAACTTAGATAATCAAATGATAATCAAACAAATGACGACTTATCATTGGTAACTTATACGTAGATCACTTTAAAATACACGTTGGGTGTTGATCCATTTTACACTCACTTTGATTTCTTCACAGATCTAAACGTAACAAATATGGTTTTGGCAGATCTAGGAAGACGTATTAATTCAGCTTTAGCACAGATTAATAAAGAACCTGTAATAGATGCAAAGGTACTTGATGCACTTTTAAAAGAAATATGTGCAGCGTTATTGGGCTCTGATGTTAATGTGCGTTTAGTTAGTACACTTAGAAATAATGTTAAGAATATCGTTAACATACAAGATCTTGCAGCTGGCATAAATAAACGTAAACTTATACAAAAGGTTGTTTTTGATGAATTATGTAAACTTGTTGAACCGGGTGTTGAACCTTACAAACCTAAAAAGGGTGGAGTTAATATTATAATGTTTGTTGGTTTACAAGGTAGTGGTAAAACTACCACTTGTACCAAATTGGCTTATCATTATCAACGTAAAGGTTGGAAAGTGTGTTTAGTCTGTGCTGACACTTTTCGCGCTGGTGCTTTTGATCAATTAAAACAAAATGCCACTAAAGCAAAGATACCATATTATGGAAGGTTGGTATTTGATTATTTTTTTTTTTTTTGAAATTTCTTTTTTGAAAAAAAAAAAAAAGGTTCACCCTAGATAACTTCCAATCGTTTGCAGTTACACTGAGACGGATCCAGTACAGATAGCGCATGAAGGAGTGGAGAAATTTAAAAAAGAAGGATTTGAAATAATTATAGTTGATACGTCGGGTAGACATAAACAAGAAGTTGAATTATTTGAAGAAATGAAACAAATATCGGCTGTAGTTAATCCAAATAATACAATATTTGTAATGGATGGTACTATTGGTCAGGCTGCCGAATTACAAGCAAAGGCATTTCATGAAGCAGCTGAAATTGGTTCAATCATTATTACAAAGATGGACGGTCATGCAAAAGGTGGTGGCGCGATATCCGCTGTAGCTGCGACGCATAGTCCAATTATATTTATTGGTACTGGTGAACATATACATGACTTGGAAAGGTTTGAATCAAGAAGGTTCATACAAAAAATGTTGGGTATGGGTGATATATCAGGTTTGATGGAAACCGTGCAAGATTTGAAATTGGATCAAAATAAAACTTTAATGAAAAATTTAGAACAAGGTATCTTTACCATAAGAGATATGTATGAACAATTTCAAAACATATCACAATTAGGTCCCTTATCAAAAATGATGCAAATGATGCCAGGTATGTCGGAAATGAATTTTGAAGGTTCTGATGAAATGGGAGCGCAGCGAATAAAAAGATTAATGACTATAATGGATAGTATGAGCGAAGCTGAATTAGATAGTGATGGTAAAATATTCCTTACCCAACCAAAAAAAATTCAACGTATAGCATGTGGTAGTGGTACTAGCGTAAAAGAAGTTGAAGAACTTTTATTACAGCATAAAGCTTTTCAAGGTATGGTTAAAAAATTTGGTGGCAATAAAGGTTTGTTTAAAAATATGGGCGCTGGTCCTGGTATGGACAATTCAAAAATGTCCCCTCAACAAATGCAACAAAAAATGGCTCAAATGCAAAGAATGATGCCTCGCGGCATGCAAGGAATGAATATTAATAATGTAATGAGACAAATGGTAAGTATTTTAACAACGGTTCTTATGGGAATCTGATCAAAAAAAAAATACCACCAACTAACTATCACTATTTTTAATTTATTAGATGGGGGGAGGAGGAGGTGGTGGTGGTGGTGTTGGTATGCCAGACATAAGTCAAATGATGAAACAAATGGGTCTTGGTGGTATGCCCGGTATGGGCGGTAATCGTAGATAAAAAAAAAAAAAAAAAAAGTGTTAAGGCGATGGGATATGTTAATCCCCCCCAAAAAAAATTTTAAATTAAATCAATAAAACGGTTTGTATCTTATAAAGAAAATTTTGTTTTGCGAAAATATTTAATGTACTTTACAAAAGAATAATAAAATTTTACAATTACATTTTAAAAGAAAATAATAATGGAATAATATAAATTAGAATATACCAAAAAATAAAATAAAACCTCAACATAAATATTCATAAGCAGCATGATACCAAACGTTAACCCATCTATTGACAGGATCGATAACGATATAACAAAAGTTATTATGATTATTAGAAGGAAATAAATTACTATTTTTTAAATTATTTATTTTATAAACAAAAGATTTAATTATCAAATCACCAGTCTTTCTACTTTTTTGCACACTTCAAAAAAAAAAAAAAAATTTAATTCGAGAAATATATATATTAATTTAATAATAGATTTATTTAATACGTACATACCATATTAAATCTTTATAAATTTTTTTTAATATGTTAAAATATTCCGAAACAAAATCCTCAAATTGACACATATCTCCTCCTAAACAAATTGACTTAAATGCCCTAAACATGAATTCATTTCTATCATCCTTACTAAATATATCATAATGTGGCGAATCGACCAATAATAATAATTTTCTTAATTCATCCGTTATCATGATAGGTGATGAATTGTCCTCTTCTAAATACGTTGGAAATGTTTTAACTATTGCTCCACTCTCTCGTCTCACTATTGCTGTTTATTATAAGCAATTATGGTATCAATAATTCTACTTTATTAAGGAAAAAAAGAAAATAAATAATTAGTAAATTAACGAACGTACCAGCATCATATAATCTATCAAAAAAATGCAGTGTAGTCAAATTACAAGGTACTTTTTCATATGCAACATCATAAATATCTCCTTGTAATTCTTTCCAATTATTTTGATCAGATTGTATTTTAAATTCTTCCCTTACATTTTCATCTTTAAAAAATTCTAAAAGAAATTTGTGCTCATCATTTTCATAATCAAAATATTCTTCATATATAAATCTTTTTATATAACTATGTCTTCTCATTCCCCTAACATGGTAAAAAAAGAGTTAATGCTTATATACAATCATTTAAAAAGTCTTCCATTTTATTAAAATGATTTAATCGTACCATTTTTCTAATAAATCTTGCACACGTTTGCTATTGTATTCTAGTTCGTTTGGTGATTTTGTATGATATTCAAAATGAAACTTCATTTTAAAATACACGGGAGTCAAATACCCACGATCATAGGACATTTTATCAAAATAAAATTTGATTGCCTATTTCCTATTTCTGCTGTGCATGATCGACATTCTGCTGCAATTTGTTTAAAAATTTCGATTTATTTCGATTTATATAATTTTTTGCCAAAATTCCTCTAGATTTGAATATTTCACCAAAGACAAGTCAAAATTACAATATATCGCCCATTTCTGAAGAAGATTATATAAAGGATTTGTAAATTCAATTATTGAGGTACTATAAGAAAAAATACCTTAATTTGAGTTACTTTAAAAAGTTCATGACATGGATGATTCAAAACATGCTTTTTAAAACTTTTTAAATGTAGCATTATAAGCAGAGAGAGAGAGAGAGATTGAAATATTATTTGAAATGATTCAGATACAAAATTAAGGTTTTGAATAAAAGTAGTTAAAGGTTTACCAAAATTTTCTAATAATATTCCATTATTAATATAACTATTTAAATTTTTTAAACATCCTTCAATAAATAAAAGAAGGTTTTCTTACTAAAAAAAATCCAAGTCATCCATAAATTTTTGTGCATAAATTTTGATAAAAAAAGATAAATTTGAACATAACTATTATTAAATGGATCATTGAAAACTTTAATCAATCTTTAATTATATAATTAGAATCATACTTTTGTTCTTCCAAATAAAAATTTTAAAGGTATTGATAATTTTCATCCACATAATAAACCATTTGAAATCAAGAATTCCAATGAGTAGCAATAAAAAGAGAAACATTAGTTGGATTAATATATTATTTCATAATAAAAAAATAATAATATCGTGATTGCTAAGCTTTAGCCAAAATAAAGGTTTTTTTAACATTTGTTAACGTTAATAATGTTTTTACTAAATTAAATTGCTCAATTGATATTCATGCTTGGTTAAAAATAAATAAAAAATTTTTAATATAAATATTAATATATTTAAATTATTTTAATTTAATTAAATAATTTCTTACCTAATAATATTAAGAATATATGTTAAACAAGATAAGTGTTTAAATTAAAGCATAACTGGTTTAAAAACTTTTATGATAATTTTTTTCATATATGATGCTGAATCTGATATGATAAGATATATAATATTAAATGGTATAAATCATTTAATCAAAATAATAAGAATAAGGCATCTAATAGTAAGATTATTAACAGAATTCAAATAATCAACAACTACAAGTTTAATATTACTATGATAGCTAAATAAGATACTAACAATACTACAAGTTTTACTATTAGTTATTTCATCTATAATTATTGATACCAGATTATTTTGAAAAACTTCTTTTAAATCATCAATATATTATTAGTAAATTCCTAGTAAATAATTTTACCTTAATGTATCAGCTTGTAGAATTGCATCGCTTTTACAGCAATATTTTTTAAGAAAAGGTTAGAGTATATTTATCTTTTCTAAAGGAATATTTGCTTTGATAAATGTCTTTATAAGATCTTAAATTACTATTTTTTTAGATTCTGCAATAGACAAAATACTTTTTAAAGTTCAGAAATATGTATTTTTTATAGAAGGTTTATAGTTTTTTTTTATTTTTTATATAAATTTTACTTTTTACATGTGAAGAAGTACTTTTATATTTCTAACTAATAGAATGCCTATAAAATTTATATACAAAAGAGTTATTAAGAACATTAAAAATATTTGAAAATTCTTTTTGACAAGTATATAGAATGATTCATTTTAGTTTAAGTAACATATTGTCACTGTGGAGTTCTTCAACTCAGGGTGATCACGTTATCAAGTCTCTACTTGAAATTTCTAGCTGCAGTTTACTGCGGTTAAGACGTTAGGGTCCGCCTAGCTCTTAACTTTGTCAAAATTACACGTTAGACTTAAATAAAACCTATCAAGTATGAAGACTTGAAAGAC